TGGCCAAATAATACAATAAACTGTCTTACACTGAAATATCTCCGCTCAACTTCCAAAACAAGCGACTAATCTATACCATACTGGCTAAACTATATGGTATATATGCTACACTATATTGGATATACGGAGCAGAACTTCCAGGTTCCCCATAACATGTCCACATGAACAAAATTCAAACCGCACAGTAAAAAATACTTTGAAAAATCGCAAAAATACCTGGGTTTGTTAAAAATCATACCATACAAAATGGCATGAACATACCAACAGTAAAATCCTACATACATAAAAAATCGAAACATTCGTCTCTTCAACTATTAATCGCCCAAATACACTTGTCCTCTCTCTTTCTTTATTCCTGTTACTTGGTGAGCTTTGAAAGAGACCGTAAGATCTAGAGATCTGTTCAGAATATAAATAATTATCAAAAAATAATAAGACAAAACTGATGATAGCATATTTGTTTGATAAGTTGCAAGTTTAATGTAAAAAAAAGAAAGGTTTTTTGATATTCAATAGCAGAACTAATTGAAAATCCATCAACCGAGTAACTTGGAGTATACAGATAATAATAGTTGCTATAATATTTTCGCAATTCTTAATCTTTAATATATTTTACGGATTGACATTTATTTTAATTTTAAAGTACAATTGTTACATTTATAAACAGCGAATAAATAAAAAGACTAGATCACTAATATACTTTCTTCATTCGTGGAAGAACTCCCTCGAAACATGGAGGTCAGGTTCGATATGAAAGCTAATCCGCTAAGCTTTGAGTGGATTTCTTTGTAACTACTGGATAAAGAAAGAAAATACACTGGCCCGATCTTCGGCGAATCTGTTCGGTAAAGCTTAATTATTTATAGAAGTTTTTCAGGAAAAGTGTTCCTTTGACATATTCCCAACAAGTTTGGGAAAAGATACCTCCTTGTTTAAAGAAAATCTATTTTATATCAGCGCTTGAATTCTACGAGTATTTAAGTTTAATTATTTTAACTTTTGTATCTCGACCATCCAAACTTTAAGCTTTTCTAAACTTTAATTAACAAAATGTTGATTGCATCATAGTTGTTCACCATCGATCCAGTGTAAACGGACTTGGCTAATTACCGCTTAAATATTCATTAGAGAACAAGCGAAGCTATTTTTAAGTCCTACACCATTTGTGTCTGGTTTTTCAAAGAAGACAAATTAATTCTCGAGAGAATACTCGGTTCCCATTCATTAGTTGAATCTTGGCTAGGATGATTAATTTCTTTACTTAACGAAACTTCTAATCTTGTGTGAGCAAACTACTCAAAGTTCCTCAATACTTAATTTGATTATATATTTCTGCATTTCCTTAAAACTTTTTTTTTTAAAATAACAGAATTTGCTAAAGTAATCTTTCACTAAATCTTCTTTATTTATTTCTTCTTCTCTCTCTCTCTCTCTCTCTCTCTATATATATATATATATATATATATATATATATATATACATAGAAATAGAAAAATCATCTTTATTCTGGGACTAGGTCCCTTTAGAATAACAGCATTGTTCATATAAATCAACCATAAATCTGTCCAAAAGGCCTATTACAATGAATAATAACAAAATACTAGTAATAAATTACGTATAATAGCTCTTAGGATAAATTAACGAGAACAGTTGGGTAATAGGGGTTCATTACTACAATATTGGAACTAAAACAATAGCATAATAATCACTGAATGAAATTAGAAAGGAACCAAAATCAATTTTATAGACAAAACATTGTAGTGATATACATATATATATATGTATGTTTTTTGTTTTTATAATAAAAAAAAAAAAAAAAGATAGAACAAAGTTGTAGGCAATTGTTTATTTTTGCTAACATATCTTCAATGTGTGGAAGTTACGGCAGTTATAAGTATTGTACTCAATTTCAGATTTTTTTAGGAAAAACTTTACTTTGATTATTTTAATAATTGATAATTTCAAACTATGTTGTTGCTTTTATTCACGTATTTGCTCACGTTTTCATGCTATTTTTAAGTATGACCACTTTGTGAAGTTTCTTTCGGCTTGCTACGATGATAACAGTTTAACATTATAATTTGAAAAATATGAATATAAACATGTCAGACGAAACAGGAGCAGCTTTGGGACCTGGGTTGTGCCAGGCCTACATGTTTTATTTTTTAACTTCTTTGTTGACACTTCAAAGTAAATCACGAACGGCTATTCACCACTCTTTTTCCAGTCTGCTGGTGTTCCAAAAGGTACTATCCTAGGTCCAATCCTTTATACAGTATAAATAGCTGATAACCCAAACCATGCTAACACTGTCATCACCATGTTTGCCGATGACACATGTGTCCAATCAGTTAATAATGACCCATCAACTGCATTCCAAACTTCTCAATTACTTCCTGGACTTCCTGTCCAACATTATCCTTTAATAATACCCCAATTATCTCTGTTGAATAAATCTGATACATAGAACTCCACCTAGACAAACGTCTCACATGGAATTCTCATATCAGACTGAAACCACAAGAAACCGCTCGATTTTTCCGACTACTCCAACAATCCTGAGTATATATTCCTGTTTTCACATTTACTGGGTGTATTTTTACTATCGATAAAGTTATAAATATTATGAACTATAAAAAAACAGAACTAAAAACATAACAATTCACAATAAAAAAAAATATGGATAAGTTTTCATAAGCATAATAATTATAATATTTCTCTTGCGTGCTTTATAAAAGACTTTTGGCCTAGAAAAATTATTCCTTGGGCCTTAGATTTCTCCCCACGGCCCTGAATATAAGCCATAGGACCCTTGAACCTTTACAAGGAGGAACAAATGGTGCATCCAAAGAAACCTGAGGAAATCCTATTCCAGTTATTGACTTGCCGGTGATTGTCACATCCGCAATGCTCCAACCACTTCTGTTTCTTGAGGGCCTCTCCTGCTATTATATATTCAAAGTGGTCTCTAGGTATTGTATAATCTATTATGTTTTTATTTTTACTTTTTTAAGGGTTCTCAATAATCGACTCAAGTGCATTTTTCATTATTAATCGACAGATACTCTGGGTAATTTCAATAAAATTGATGTCGAGTTTCTAATTATCTCCTTCTATTATGATATTAGACCTTGGAAAATATTACAGCTGGAATCATGAGCAAGTCGTGGTCAATGAAATTGCATCAGTCAGTAAAAGTTTTATTAAATATTATTTTATTTATCAGATAGCTATCTATAATATCTCCAGATATTTCTTTGTCTGTTTTGTTTGAAACGATATAAAAATAATCGCAACATTAATCAGTCAAATTGCTCCTTTGTTTTGTTTTTCCTCCCAGTTCCTTTCTCCTCCCCCCCCGCCGGGATCCTTTCTCGTGAAAATTTCTTCACTTCATGTAATCTCTTAATTTAATTATTTTCTGACGTGGACAGTCGTTTGAAACTGGTCATAATAACAGCTTTCATTCTGGAATTAGTTAAAACTGAATTGAGAATCATTGTTTAAGTTTTCTTGTAACCTATATAAGCAAAGAAAAACAGAAATATTAAATGGAATCAATGAAACTGCATATTTTTATTGAACAAGGTTAAGTAACTCTTCAGATAATTTTATAATAGATGCAGCTGCGATCATGGATGTTTTATAGATAAATATAAAATATCAAACGGATACATTTTATGGATGTCTCGTTTAGATTTTAGATGGATCTGAACCTGGGAGATATAATGAGGGATTTGATAGTTTGATTGGCCCACTTAAATACATTTTTTGTTTCCTTCATAAATTCAGAGTCCTTATCTATTCATAGAATAAAAAATCCATTCATTATCGATTTTGCCAATCTCATCAACACAAAAGAGATAGCGAAAAATGAAAAATAAATGTGATATATGTGTATATTATAACCAGAATCGGGACTTATGATAAAAGCATTACAAGTTTGTAATGCTATTTGTCTGTTCAGAAATTACTGTAACTATTTGGAATTATTTATTTCCACACATGTTGAATATCTTAAATATGATATGGCAGATAGTATGGCCAAGAGAGCTATCAAAGAGGGTCAACTAACTCCAAAAAGCACCCCAATACTATTAAAAACTTAATATTGTTCCTTAAGGAAATCAAAATTTACATTTCACAAAATATAATCACATCTACTAATTTTTTAAAATTTAATCACATCTTGTAATTGTAAATATACATTTTAGTTTTTTAAGTTTGTAGGTTCCTCTTCAAATTGTAAATATACCTGTTAATTCATCTTTTTTAAATCTTTAATATTTAATTTTAATGTTTTTGTCATCTTTTCTACGTGTATTTTTTAATATTTAAACTGTACTCCTGAACTCCTCTTCTATTAATATTAATTTTTATTTTTTAAAAACTTATTTTTAGATTTGTTCTTGAAATCATTAACCTTCATTTTAATTTTATTTGATAACTTATTTACTTTTAAACCCAGGTGGTTGAAGAGCCCAAAACATTTATAAATAAATATCTTTTCTTTCTTGAAGAAAATTAAATCACCGATTTTTAAAATCTTTATCTAAGCTCTTCATCCCTAATATGACACTTAAAATTGCATTAAAGAACTCGAATAATGGTTATAGTTTTATTTCTTTAAGTATACCGTTTAATTTAATCACTTTTAGTATTTTAGGGTAGTTTTAATATTTGGTTCTTATTTCTATGTATTATATTGCTTTAACTTAATTTATTTATGATTTCTGTAAATATGATGTGGATGAGCTCTCTAATTTATATTATAAATATCCATGATTGAGACAGGATGTAATATTTCTCTATTAACATATTTAAAAAAAAATATCTTGTCCACAAGCAACTATTTTTAAACATTCGTAAATTGCATTAAATATTTTAAATCAGGCCATAATTTTTTGTATGGGTGTAAAATGTTTTAAGTTACTGTGTTGTATATAAGATGTAATACAATCCCATTTTATACATATATGCATTTTCTTTTGTTGCAGGTGCTCAATGCTTGTACTTCCCCGCCAGAGAGGTCCAGCTGACCATCAGAGTGGGTTCGATTCCCGACATCTTGACCAAGGTGTCAGCCTTCGTCAATACCGGAGATGCGGTACCTGCCGTGTTCTCGGTGTCCACTAACGTCAGAGGACATCCTTTACCGGACACTCTGCTCGAAGTCGACATCCAAGGAAATGTCAAGTGGATAGAAAAACCTACTGGTATGTAAGCAGAAAGTTACCAAAATTTTCTATTGAAATCCATACTTATGAAAAATATTTTAATATTCTTACCTCTAGTAATGTTCAATGTACTCCTCTAAAATTTAAGTAAATTAAGGATGGTGTAGATAGTTGGTCTACTTCAACGTTCTGTAAAAAAGGAGTACTTTCATAATACTCAATGAAAAAAGGCTTCTTTAAAAATCAAGTATAAACTTAAGAAGTCTAATACAAGTATACGGGACTGTTTTCATTTACAATAACTTTTATAAAAACGCTAACGTTAGACTAAATTAAAACATTCATGTTGCCTCCTTAAAATGTTGACTTGAACAAACCATCAAAAAGTAATACTTTTATGAAACTCAAAACAAAAGGAGTTCTTTAAGCTAATTTGACTCCAGAGAGGCTTATGAAACAATAACGTTAATGTAAATTGCAAGAGTCCCCTTACCTCCTTTACTGACTTTAAGTAAGAAAGAATAAATAATGAAGAAAGGTTCGGACTATAAATTAATAAATATAATAAACTTTCAGTTTGTGACAAAAGAACAATATGTATACCTATTAAAAATATATAATATTTATTGTTATATACGTTTTTGAAAAAAAAAAAAAGAAACACTTTGAAAATCTGACAAAATCTTTTTATTTGTTTATAACGTTTCGGATTGTTTAAATTCTTATAGTTGATAGAATTGAAACAAGTTACCTAAAATAGTTATTTGTAACCATGTTGGGGAGGATTACTTTAATAAATACATCACAGATCAACAAAGAAGAAAATTCCTCAATATTTTGTAATCTACTAACAATACTTATAAATAATATTGAATACTTATAAATAAAAAAAACAAAACAAATTAACCTTAATTATTATACTAAATTAAATTCTAATATCTTCTTGAAAATGGCAAGTCCATCTGAAACGTTGAAAATGTATGAGTAAGATAAGAGAAATTAAGTTTTAAGGTTTTTATTTTCAGATGACAAAGACTCAAAAACTTCAAAGTTTTAAAAATATTTACTATTACCATGATCAGGTTGTATATCCAAAACTTATAACATACAAACTAGATAGATAATCTAAACCTGTATCAAATAATTATTTCCTTCAATCGTACATTTTAAAAAATCCTTTCGTTATCAATTTATTCTTTCAAATTACGGATTTTAGAGATACCCAACCTCTGAAACTTGAAAGCGAAATGACATTAATTTGACAGTTACGTGGGTTTTCTCTAAGAAGTAGAAAATTGGAAAGTGTCAATGCGAGGGCCCACCCAACAGCCCACGCAGTCACTAATCCTGGTACTTATGGAATTTTAATTAGCTGAGTTTTCCAATTCCAAGTCTATTTCGAGTACCGTTTAATAGGCATTTGAGCGGGCATCAGGCGTCCATATTAAACTAGATAGAAAGAAAAAAATAGGAAAAGTAAATTTTTTTTAGGATATTTATTTCCCCAAGAATAATAATAATGAATTCTTCAGGCAACTTTTCAAATTAAGGCAAATAACTCTCTTGAGTTCTTAATAGGCAACACTCAAAATTATGGGCAACATTCTACATTTATGCAGTTGACTTTATTTTAATGGATTGGTAGGTTATAATGATTGGACAAACAAATAGCTTACCGTCTTTATGTCAGCTTCCATCTCTTCATTACCTGAGGGCCCTCATGTGTCGTTGTTGGTGCTGTCTCGGTGACTACTAGTTAGTGTTGCCCAAATGCGAGAAGAAACGAGTCTTGGTCTTACAAACTCAGTCTTGGTCATGGTCTAGGTCTTGCGCAAGAGTCTCGCAGTTACTTATTAGCTTATTACTATAGAGATATGATTGTAATTTTTTAGATAGGAGAAACCTATCTGAACACAAATGAAAAATTAGAGGAGTTAAATGCAAAGGTATATTGGTTATACCAATTATTAACATATAATGACTAAGATTGTTGAGTATTCGTAATTATTTAGCCTTACTTTTTATTTCAAAAATCGATTTTTTTACCAGTCCTGGTCTTGGTCTTTCAACAGTTAGGCGGCCTAGGTCTTGGTCTTGTACTAGATCTTCTAATCTGCTCCCACCACTCGCCGTAGCGCGGGAAATTCAAACCATTTTGACACAAACATGAATAATAAAAGGAAGATTTTCCTGGCACAAAATAACAATCAAGAAATAAATTATACATATCGTCTGCGTCACGTTAAAGTAACCAATGTTACGCTGTGCAGGTTAATATTCCTTACTTTAACATGATGCCCACGATATATGTAATCTTATTGATTTTATTATTTTATTTATTCACATCCTCCCTTGGCTCTTGGCAACACGAACATTGATAGAAGTTTCGCGTTTCTTCTAACACTTGTTTTCTTATTCATTGGAGGAGGTTGAAACGATCAACTTCATTAATTCCTTGCACACGCACACGGAAGCTTTGTAGTACGAGTAGTTCTATACTTTTGCTTTCTTACTAACTAAGAGAAATCGTCCTGTGTGATTGTCCAGTTTCCTTCAGTAGTTTGGCCCTTATTGACTTAAAAGCGGTTCAGGTTGTTGCGGCATGCTCAACAGTTTCCGGTAGTAAAGAATATATCGACAGCCACACTGCAAAAACAGGTTTTTATTAAACAGGTTTTGTTCATGGGGGGAGGCATGCGTGTTTTACAGCATTTTTACATTATTTATTGACCACGTCCATTGCACTTTATGTATTTGTATGCATGTTATGAATTAGGTTAGGAAAAGAGAGGAGAAAAATGTATAGAGTGAGAGAAGGAACAGAAAGGGATGTATAGTGCTAATAAGTGAATTAAAGAAATAGTAAAAATAAAATAAATAAATAAATAAAATAAAAAAATAAATAAAAATATAGGAAAAAAAATTATGATAAAAAAATATATATATAGATAAAAAAAAAAAAAAAAATTGTATATTATGCTCATATATGTTGTTAATACTATATAATTGTATATTAGTTTTGGAAAATTGTCTGTAGCGATTAATAAGTATGCTGTGTTTAAAGCAACCCAATGTAATTGGGCAGCACCCTTTTATGATAATAAAGTGATTCTCTCTTAGGTGTTTAATTTATTTTAAGTGAAAACACAAAATTATTTATACGATGAAATAAATCGCGTATTTCTTATCTTATGATGTAGATGCTCCGTTCAATTTTAATTTCATGCTTAAAAGAGATTTGAAAGTATATCTGAATATTTAACCTTTAAATGATTATCGATTGTAGGACTATTAATTATTAAACTATTATTTTCTATTACCTTAAATGTTATCAATATTTGTTTTGCTTTAATATTTTTTATTCGACAAGGTTTACATTAAAAGGCGCTTAATGATTATTATACGGCTGACACGAATATTGATTCATGGAATCTGAAAAAAAAAACCACTAATACACGATTCCCTGATAGCATAGGTTTTCCTTGCCTATAGAAGGCAAAGAAAAAAATATCTATGCTTTTGCAATGGAACCATTACTATATTAAAAAATGAATTTTCCCAAAGAGTCGCAAGCACATTGCTTTACCTTTAAATTCGCCTAAAAATTCTGTAAGCCTGTTGATTTTTCAAATATTTGTTTATTACAATATTTAGTAAGATTTACAAATATATTTTTTAATTTGTATTACATGAAACAGTAACCAAACTATTTTGGTTCGATAATAATATACTTCACTTCGACAACATTCGTTTTATTATTTAATAATTAGAACATAACATATTAAAGAGTATTTTTTGATTAGAAAAATATTAAAACCAAATTTTAGTTCTCAGAAGAAGGTTTATCTTCTATTACAGTAATATATTTTTGGAACAAAACAGACTGTTTCAGGGTTTCGTACAATACCGCCTACAGAGCATTTTCGGAGCCTATTTTGTTCTTCCGTTCAGGTTCCAGAAACTGGGGCGCTGAAAATAAATACGGATTTAGGGTTCCCTAATCCTGGGTACCGAATCCAGGAATAAAATCTCCCACAAGGGTGGAGAGACAATACAGAAAAAAATAATAAAAGAAGGCCCTCAGGTATATTGAGGGAAACCAATTTTTTTCCTATAGTCGAGGAGTCAGAATTTTATTGCAACTGTAGTGACCCTTTTTTAAAATGCTAATAAAGCTAATCCTGGTAGTCTGGATGAGCCACTATACATTTACGACTTCCAATTACTTTCAGCCTTTATTAACGTTAAGGACTTACAAATCATTATTTATTTTATCATTCAGTGCCAAAAAAAAAAACTCCAATTCTCCGTCATGTTTGTCAGTGAGTTTTTTTTTTATTTACTTTTTTTTAAATTTAATGAAAAACAAGAAGAATCTGGTTTCATTGGTAACTAGGAGCCTTCAAAATGGTTAATACTTTACAACTATTATAGCCTAGTGAGAAATTTCACATTAGATTGCTTGTCTAGACACTACATACGATTGGTGAAGTTCATACTGTTAAAATAACAATATGCTTATGGCATATTTGAATAAGTTTTCTAGGATATCAAGCAAAAAAAATAAAAAATAGAAATATATAATATTCTGAAGAAAAATGAAATTTATACTGTATCCGCAATGTAAAATAGGTTTTAATGATGTAATAACATATTATAATAAAACATGAAACAACATTTAATTATAAAACATGCTAGTCTGTGGTACAGCCTCCTTTTTATTAAATTATTAACATCCGCCTGAAAGCTTGTAAATAGCTTGATATAACCATAACTTACAACTATTTTATTTACGAAAACTCTTGCAATTGTGGACGTCTTCAATCTGGAGTTTGGCAAAATTTGTCTATATAATTTGTTACTAAAGGCTTGTATATACTCATTTGCTTTTCACTTGGATTGTAAGATAATTTAATCAGAAAATAGGGTAAAAAGGTGGTTTTCAAAAACATTGGACTGCTTCACCTATGAAACCTCCTTATTTTCACATTTTGGGAATGTCACGCCATGGGCCAGTAACGACCATACTTAATAGGATT